TACCCATTAATGTACAGTATGATTTTTGTGAACTCTGATATTTTTCTGTCTTTTTAGTCATAATTTATGTTTGCCAAAACTAGAAGTTAATTTCTTTGCAAAATCCTTGTGTTGGAACAGTCTAGCTACTGGATTGTTTGTCAAATTCCTTCTAATTTCTGTGGCAACAAGACATTGACCCTAAGGGTTTAAATCTGAAACATGGCCAAAACAAAGATTTGTGAAAGTCCACAGTGATTTGTTAGATTGAGTTGTCTGCAGACAAAAAGAGGAGAAAGTAATGAACATGCTTCGACTGTGCCTGGCCCATAGGAAGCTCTATAGAAGTGGTGTTGAGAAGTAGCAGCAGGCACAGAGTGGTTAAAGAGCCTAGGTTCTGGAGCTAAACCGGCCAGGTTCGAGTCTTGGCTCTTCCCCTTACAAGCTGTGTAACCTTGGACAAGTCACTTAACCTTTCTGTGGCCTCCATTTCCTCCTAGGGTTGCTGTGAAAATCAAATGAGCAACGTCCATAGTGCTTTGTAAGTTTGCTGTTATTATTGCAAATATACACTTCTTGTGTTTAAGTCCCTAAAAAAAGGTCTGAGTTTTGTGATACTGAAAGAGACTCTTCCAATCAATTTACTTTTCAAGCAGGTGACTGTTATAATTCTGACTATTAGAGGCTTGTACCATATAAAACATACAACCTGCAAACTGTGTCCTTCAGGTATTTGTGATCATGTGACCTGGCTGATAAAACTAGTCTATTTAGCAGTAAATGTGTGACTGAAAACAAAATATTGGATAAGCCTGAGGTTACTTCCAACAGCCTCTGGAGTGTCCATATATAATTCAGTATATGGCTTAAAATTCAGTATAATATAGGTCAGCCTATACTCCCAATAAAGGGTCATTATGACTAGGAATTTTATAATGGCCTCCTTCTAACATTTGCTCACTTATTGTAACCTATATTATTCTAATTTTCTTTTAAGTTTGAACGTGACTGTGTGCCTAGGACAGCTATGGCCATCGAGCATGTATCTCTAACCATTGAGATTGGGTGTGGCTTATAACTTATTGATCGCATCTTTTAAATATAGAGAATCAACTCTGAAACGATATAAAGATTACCAATAGTTACTCGTTATTTTTTGAGTGGTAATTATGTGGTAATTCACTTGAATAATTGTGCTCAGTATTATTTTTCCATGACCAAAGCACATTTTTAGCTTTTCTTTTCTTTCTTTGTTCATATTTTGTTCACTCTCTAATGTCTATCATCAGTGTCAATATCCAGAGATATTGACGTTGGTGTTCCAACAACGTGGCTCAAAACTGCAGTCTGTCACTCAACTAACCCCCAAATCTCCAGTAAGTTTGTTCTTGCTCATGTCATAAGTCTAATAAGGTCTGGTGGTCCTCTTTTATCCTGTCACTCTGCCATTTAATATATGCCTTCCAAGGCCATCCTGGTAGGGAAAACAAACCCTGGAGGGACTCCTTTGAAGCCAGGATTGGAAAGGACTTATATCACTTCCATCCAATTCCATTAGCTAAATCACACGAGCCTAACCAAATGACAAGAGAGGCTGGGAAATACCATCTTCCTACTTGCCCAGGAAGAGAAAATAGTGTGGTAAATACCTAGCATTTTCTCTGCCACAGCTCCTTACTAGCTGCATAACTTTGAGCAAGTTACCTAACTTCTCAGAGCCCCAGTTTTCTCATTTGCAAAGTGCAATAGTAATACCTACCTTACAGAGCTGCTGTGAACATGAATGAGGAAGGGAATGTCAAGCACTTAGCATATGGTAAGTACTTCATAAAATTGTTACATTTTATTACTAATAATTAATAGTTTCTCCCTAAAACACACACACATACATGGGACCCAAGTCATTAGCGCCCGAGTTCTCTGGTCCCAGCCAGTCTAGCTCTCTGCTGATGTTTTAGCTCTGGCCCAGCCTGTCAGGGGTGCAAGACTCAAAGCAGCCGAGACTCCTGGCCATGGGACTGACTTCAGTATAAGCATCTTACTACAGGGGCTGAGGTAAGGGGAAACCAAAACCGGGACAGGACAATGAGAAGGGGCTCTAGGTCCTCCAGGAGTCCTGGGAAGGAGGATTTTGAGGGCAGGAATTAAGAAGGTGGAAGACAGAAGGGAGAACTCACCAGTTGTGTGAACTTGTGCTTCAAGTGGAGCCCAAGTCCCAAGATAGCAGCTGCAAGAAAGCAGAAAAATGAACGCATGCTGCAGACTTACAAGGTAGCAGGCCTCATGATGGGGCTTCCACACAAGTGACCTCATTGAATTCTCTCAAGGATCCTTAGGTAAGAATCACTGACCCAGTTTCCAGCATAGTTAAAATAACTCACCCAAGCTTACATAGCTAATAAGTGACATAGTTGGGGTTGGGTCTTCAAAGTCCTAGTGTAGTGTTCTTTGTACTACACTACCACTTTACATCTCCCACTGACGCTGAATTGTGCTGAGGACCAGTAGATCACAGAGAATACACAGGAAGTTTATCCTTCTCAGGGAAGCAGGAAGTAGAACCATTTACCTGCTCAAGCATTATTCCCTAGCCCCACTTTGCACATGACCAAAACAGCTTAACTCAAAGTCAGCCTATGGTACAATGTATTTCAGCGGACCCTCTCAAACACATTGAAATATACCCCTAACTGCTTGCTAATGTTTGAAATTAATTTCACTGAGAGAGGCAATGAGTGTGTGGATGGGCTTCCATTAATGTGTATAAGAGATCACTTCCTTTTGGGGGCACATGGAGGGTGGAATGATTTTACTGAGTAGAGCAAGGATTTGGATAGAGAGACCTGATCAAACCAAGGCCACAGCTCCTTGAGTTCACAATCGGACAGCCTGTGCACCAAAAATGGTCCAGAAGAAGTTTTGAGTCCTCCGTAGACATGCAGGCCTGGAATATGGTGGGAACAAGTCCCATAGAACAGTCCCATGAAATGAACCCTGAGGACCATGCCATAAAGTGCCCTCCGGGTATCCAAATATATCCAGAAAAATCAAGGGATTTGGGGCTTGGCATTTTACACGAACAGTATTACAACAGAACTACGTCTGCAGCAGCAGAACTGAAATGAATCTAAGACAAGGTTTTTCCAGTCTGTCAAAATAAATTTACTTGGAATTGTGAGCAGCGTAAACTCTATAAGTTCCAGTCTCTGCCTCTATTTCTAACACATGTTAGGTTTCTACGTACTGATTTGGACAAGTATAAGAAATAGTTCACCACCCAACATTCCTCTCTTACTTTACATATATTTTGGGACTCCTCTGTCATATCTGGGAAATGGTGTCTTCCTTACTTTTCATTTGACTTAGAACAGGGTTTTCATAATCCACGTCATACTGAGAGGCAATACAGTGTGGTGGTTAGTGGTTAAGAATATGACCTGTGGAGTCAGAGCACCTTTGTTTGAACCTAGTCTTCATCGTGTACAAGCTGTTTAACTTTGAGCAAGTTACTCCTGTGTGCCTCAGTTTCCTCATCTGTCAAATGCAGAGGTGAACAGTGCTACCTTATAAGTTTATTTCAAGGCTTAAATCATTTAATATATGTAAGCCCTTAGAAAAGTGACTGACACATGGTAAGAACTCACTTCTCTAGCAAGTACTTCAAAAATGAAAGAAAGTGAGGGGCTGGCCCCGTGACCGAGTGGTTAAGTTTGCGCGCTCTGCTGCAGGCGGCCCAGTGTTTCGTTGGTTCGAATCCTGGGTGCGGACATGGCGCTGCTCATTGAGCCACGCTGAGGCGGTGTCCCACGTGCCACGACTAGAAGGACCCACGATGAAGAATATGCAGCTACGTACCAGGGGGCTTTGGGGAGAAAAAGGAAAAAAATAAAATCTTTAAAAAAAAGAAATGAGAGTGGCCAGGGGGAGAGAAAAGCCAAGCTCCAGCCACTGTCACCATGCAGTGGGTAGAGAAGAGCCTGCATAGAGTGGCTACCATTTGTGCCTCTTGTCCATGTCTCAGCAGTTGAGAAACGAAGACCAGTGCTTCTCAAATTTTAATGTGCTTATGAATCACCTGGAGATCTCGTTAAAATGCAGGTTCTTATCCGTGAGGTCCACGGAGCAGCTTGCAATTCTGCGTTTCTAACAGGCCTCCCAGTAAGGCTGATGCTGCTGGCTGACAGACCACACTTTGAGGAACAAGAGTCAAGAGAACACCTAGTTCCTAAATGCCACAGAGGCTCTTTCTCTAGGATGAGGAAAGTCTCCAGGGATCTTTCCTTTACCCTGTCTCTTTTGTCATTTTGGTCATGGATCACAGGTGAAGGAAATGTTTGAAAATAAGTATTGCTTCAGAGGAAAAATGCATAGATATTCAATCTTGAATTACATAAAATATTTTTAATTCTTAAGCATGTGATGATTTTTTCCCCCTTAGAATCCAAAACTGGCTTCTCCTTTCTGCTCATTAATTACAAACTAGAGGGCTGAGATGTTTTTTTGAGGTAGGCAAAATGTCTCCATCTGCTTTCCAAATAGGGATGGAAACAGCAAAACCAAGCATCCTCTTGTCAAATGATGACCTTTGCCAAGCAGCCAGTCCTTTAATTCTAACCTCATGCACGTTTCAAGGGAAATGTAAACCACATGTTTGTGTTCCACTGACACACGAATCATTGACATTTCTCATAAAAAATTTTTGATTGTTAGGGACCTTCAAACTACCAGGCAGTGTTTTGCTAAGGCCAAGGTTGGGCCTTAGCAAACAACTAAGTTGAACAGCATTCTGATTTGAAAAGTGTAAATCCAGTCAAATTACCATTTTGACCTTGTGATTTCACAGATTCAGGGTAACTTGATTTATAATCATTTAGTCAATTTCTTCACTATCTTCTATAGATACTTCCTCATAGGAATGCAGGATACAGAGACTTGAACTCATGAGTGTGTGTGTGTGTGTGTGTTTTAAAAACATATCCACAAATAAACTCAGCAAGCATCATTTCTACTCTTTTCTGAAGCTAGCAAAAAGACCTCAGGAAGAGTGATCCTTACCCCACCATCAAGTCACTTATGACTGATTCTTACTTCTGATTCCACCAAGATTAAACCAGAGACTTACAGAGGAGCTGGCAAACCTTTTCTGTAAGTAGCCATTAGTAAATACAATAGGCTTTGTGGGTCATACCATGTGTTAGTTTGCTAGGGCAGTTGTGCCAAAATCTGCATGGCTTAAACAATGGAAATTTGTTGTCTCCCAATTCTGGAGGCTAGAATTCTGAGATCAAGGTGGGTCAATTCCTTCTGAGAGCTACAAGACTTTCTTCCATGCCTTTCTTCTAGCTTCTAGTGGTTTGCTGGCAATCTGGCATTCCTTGGCTGATTCACCCCATCTCTGCTTTCATGTCCATGTGGCATTCTCCCTGGGTGCATGTCTGTGTCCAAATTAGTCCAAACTGATTACATTTGCAATGATCCTGTTTCTCCAAATAAGTTTACCTTCTGAGGTGCTAGGGGTTAGAACTTCAACATATGGATTTGCGGGGAAGGGGAAGACATAGTCCAACCTATAACATATCTGTTTCTCCAACTACTCAGTTCAGCCCTTGTAGTGCAAAAGCAGTCATAGAAAATACGTAAACCGGTGGACATGGCTGTGTCACAGTAAAGCTTTACCTGGGAAACCAGGTGGCAGGCCTGCAGGCCGTAGTTTGCAGATGCCAGCCTTAGAGTGTCTCTGATCCTTTGTGAATATGAAAGAAAACAGGAAAAGATTTGGCACTTGGCAAAAAAGAAAAGAAAAACTTTGCAAGTTTTGGGAATACCTACTTCACATATTGTATTCTAGTCACAATGTTTTACATTTAGCTTTAATATGTCTCATGTTTACGTTCAGATATAATCTGAGTTAGTATACAAAGCTTCAGCTAAGCAAATTGATATAAGTTGTATAACGGCGACTCTAAGTGATCTTCATACTCCTTGTCTTTGGGCCATTACTAAATTCTAGAATGACGGAGAAATAGACTTTTCCGTTTAACATTATGCTGTGTGCTTTGATTTTTAGTATGAATGTGTCCAAAACATTAATAATTATTAATGATTTTTAATCCCTTTAGAAATATATGTGTATTTATCCCCATGAATATATATGTGTATTCCTTTCCATATAACTAATATTTCTGGAGTGCCTACAGACACTGTAGTAGGCTGTGTACAACGAGTCCTGGACAAGACAGAAACATTATCTCTAGGGATTTACTCTGTCCTGGAGGATGCATATAAAGGAAAGAGATAATATAGTAACATATATTCAAACACCATCCAGAGAGTGCCATCTATACATGCCATGCAGGGGGAATTGCTTTGTTCTGCTCGAGTCCATATACATGCATATATATGTGAATCTTGCGTCTTCACTTATGGAACCAAATTAGAGAGTTCTGTACAGGATCATAGAAGTCAAAGGGCTGAATAAAGCTTCCACAGAAAGCTTGAAAGTTGACTATGCAGTAAAGAAAAGGTATCAATCAGGCTCATACTATATATTTTGTGACAGTAGCAGAGATCATGCTCCCACTTATATTAAAACATAGACTGGGCTTATTAACGTCCTTCTATAGTAAAAGGCTAGGCCTCTGGAAAACCCTGGAACTCTTCCTCCACTTGGTTGTGAAGGTAGACAGAGTCAGAGGCCAGCATCTAGTTTAAATTTTGAGGGAACAGGTGTACAAGTAGTGAGTGGTCTTATTGAGGATGAAATGAACCCTCTCACAGGTATCGGTAATAGACGTTGGGGGCTCATTCATCTTCAGCAGAGGTGCCCCACGAAATCGCTTACGTGGAGTGCCCCAAAATTGGCCTTGTATTTAGGATCTGAAAGAAAATACCCACTGGAGTGTACCAATTATAAAATAGGTCAAATTTAGGGGCCAGAAAAGTGGACCAGATGCCTTTAATCAGGTTTGTTACCTAAAAGGTTGTCAGTTCAGCCAGAGATTGTTCAGAGAAAATATCAGCTATAATGACGTATTTATATATATATAAAGTACTATATGACCTGAAATGTCAGGTGTATGTGGCTTTAATAATTTTAACCATTTAGGCCCAAAGAAAACTTCTAAAAGTCATAATTAAAATGCAGTTGTTCTCTTTATAATTATGGAAACACCACCACATTCTGACTACTACACTGGTGACCTTCAATAATACAAGCCGAAATCTGCCTTGACGCATCCTGTGGATTTCATAACTGCATGTAATAGACTTTGCATTGCTTGAAATGAGATTTGAGCTCCAGGAATAAAACTGGAATTTATTCTACAAATAAAACAGTAAAGCATTCCTAAATTTTCTTTTAATCTGGAAATACTTTTAATCTCTTGGATTCCTTGGTCTATAGTTTAGAAGCAACTGTCCTCTCCTCAGAATCTTGTACACATTTGTTTGGATATGAGGCAGTTTCTCTCTTTTCCTTCTAACTTTCACTAAAATAAAGAGAAGGGCCTTTCACCTTCCCACAGAACTAGAAAAAAAGGAGGGAACGAAATGGGATTTTCTTCTCAATACTTTGCAAACTTTAACCAAGAAATGCAGCACCACAACACGTCAATGCAGGATAATGATAATCTTAATAATGGTGGTGACGATGATGATCATGAATTAGACAATATATTTCTCTTCTTATTCGAAGTGTGAAAACTGAAGCAAAATGATGAAGTGCCTTTCCCAAGATCAGTGGCTCCACAATTAGAACTCGGGCTTTTCCTTCCTTCACACCTCTTCTGCGGAGGAGAACAAATATCGCTAATGTTCGTCCTCACCAGGAGAAACCCACACTGGCCCATTCAATGGCCAATTAGAATAAATTGTGAATTAGGACAAATATGACAAGTAATACAAAAATCAAATGCTCGCTAAAGAAAAGGAACAAAAAACCTGAATAAATAAGCTTAACGGTCCATTGTTTGTGGGGAAAATGATGAAATTATCATCAAAATATTCTATGAATTGAGAATGAAGATAAATTTTTATGTGGAAAGATTTTACAAAAAAAAAAAAAAAGCTACCTAGAAAAGTAAGAAGACTAATACCTTCTAGGATAGGTATTAGTTTTCATAAAAGGGGCATTAGTCTGTCTCATAAGAGAGAAAAATATGCTTCATGTGAATCTCAGTAAACTGGTCAGTTAAGATTCTTCATACTAACCAGTATTTAAGGGAATGTTTATGACGGTGCCAAGCATTTGGACATTAAAACCGTCTACACAGGAGTGTTCTAATTATGCCCGGAATCCGCCCCATACAGTCTGAGTCATTCAAGTGAAAACACCCTTTTTCTTTAAGAGCAATTTTAGGGACACAGGTTAACAGTAAATATTATAACGCGCCGGTTGGCCTACAAAAAACAAACCTCGTCTAAATATCAATCTGCAGATGCCAAACCTGTGTTTAAACCATGTGCCAATCTGCTTCCCCCATCAAAACTCCGGGTGAGGTATTGTTTCCACATTCAGGGCCATTAGCCCAGCATTGCAAGAAAAAAAAATCTTCATTTGGACAGTGCATCTTTCAGACATTCCCTTCTTTTTATTGATTTGTTTTCTCCTGTCCCTTTTCTCCTTCTTTTGTTTCCTTATCATAGCTTCAGGTTATTACGTGCGAAGTATTGATGGGAATGGATGGTTTTGGTCGATGGAGAGCTAATGCATCCCTAATCCCACTATTGTTATAGAGTTATGCTTTACTCTGGTCTCTGATGGGGGAAAAGGTGCAAAGCTGTTGATCCTAGTTTTATTTGTCACAAACCCATCCATCAATCAAGTGCAAGCATGTCTGAATGCTGAATGACATGTGGGTCTCAGCTGAAAAAATTCGATAACACTGTATTGTCAGGTCTCTCACTCTTTTTTTGATAAGAAATACATTTGACTGAAATAGATAAGCATGCAACTACTAAAGACTTGAAGGGAGAAAGTGACATATTGGCACCAAAGGTTATATATCTTTGGTATTAATGATACTTACGACTAAATAAAGTGGGAGAGGGCAGCTCCAGCTAGAGACATTCAACATCCCTAAGGCTTGGTTATGTTTAAGTATCATCGCTCCACTATTACTCAGATTTTCACATATTAATCTGACCATATTTCACAGTCGGCTACCCTGGTTAAAATGCAAGGAAATGGTCAAGTGATGAAAGTGGTGGGGTGTAGGGACTCAAATATCACTTTTTTACACAGCTCCAAACAGTACTGACAGATCCCTTCCTGTTAAGTACAGTAAGTGAATCCCATGGAGTATTTCTGTGTATGTATGAACTCATAAGTTCACAACTGTCTCCTCTTGTGAGTGAAGCATTTGGGGGAAGGAAAAGCTTTAATTATTTTAAACTGGAAATATATATGCATGTCATATTAATAGTTACTTAACTTACAATTACAGTCTCAAAAATGGTTTCTGTGTGTCCTTTTTATTCTAGTTACTAAATTAGGTACTTTAATACATTATGAAAGCCTGTCTTTTCAGTTATATACAATTTTCTATTCACAGTTATTTCAAGATAATTACATTTGGAAATAGTTAAAACATTAAAAACAACGCTAGGATAATATAATTTTAGGAGCAAAATTAATCAACAAATCAGAACATTTTAAAAGCCATTTTATTTTCTTGTCATAACATTTTAGAGAAGACAAGTATTTTTTAAATGACCTAAAAAAGCCCTTTGAGAAAGGTAACAAAAAGACAGTGCTGAATGAGATGGCACTAAGATGAATGTTTTGCAGCCATAAGTATCCCCATGTTATGAAAGTAAGCCGTTTTTTCTCTGTTCAGTGACTAGGGGCTAGAAAACTGCAAAAAAATCAATGTGGGAGTGCTTTAGATTTGTGGGGTAAATTACATGTGCTTGGCCGCTCCATTGTATCTGCCCTATATTCTATACAAGATACTTTAGATGGAACTGTCACGTAATACATATACTTCATATTGATTTTTATAGATTTAACAGAACTTGAATTGAACTCCATAATAAAGCAAGAAGAGAAACTGTATCTCCTTCAGATCTCTAATACCTGAATTATTCTTAAAATTAACTAAATGCTAGCTCCCAATTCAAAACATGGAAGGAGACCGAAAAAAAATTGTTTGATTCCTAATTCTGCTTACCTTCTGTTTCTGCTTCTCTTGTGTACATTTTATCTTAACTTCCCCATGTCTTTAAAGACATGTTAACTCTGAAAGACTTCCTGGGAGGGCTCATGAGCCAGCAAATGGGAGCCAACTGAACCTTTGAGAGTTGCTAGAAGTTCCAAACAATGACCTCTCTGTTGACTGTTCTTTTGGGTTTTCAGCTTGCTTTAGTGTGACCTCACTTTGCAGTGATTTTTAGGCTGCTGTGAATTCTGATCCCATTTAAATAAAGTATCTGAAGCCACCATAAGGGTTTGAGCAAGGGTTCAGGGAGTCCATGGTTAGCCCAAGGGCAGCCTCTCCCAGTCAGACAGTGCCTATGAAGCTAAAGACAATCCTAACAGAGAGAGAAGCAATTCAGCCCCTACTCAGAAAAACGCTGAGGTTGTTCCAACCAGCTCTGGATATCCAGGTCTTGGGCTCTGGGCGGAACTATAACCCAGTCTCTATATAACCTTGGAATAGGGATTTGCTAAACCCGGGGTAGCCTTGGTTCCAGAGTGGGTCTCCAGGAAAAATAGGGACGGTGTAGTTTTACTCAGGATGATGAGAAACTACAGCAACATCAAGAATACAAGGAACCATCTTGAAATTTGGTGGTACTGGGAACTCCTCTCATCCAGAAATACTTTGGGGAGAAAGATGAAATGGTGGCATTTTGAAACTATTTTTTGAAGTACTTTAGAAAACATAGAATATTATAAAGAAGAAAATGAAATCATAATGCCATCACCCACAAGTGGCATTTATTGCTTTTCTACAATATCTGATATGTGATACAATGAAATACTGAGAAGCAGATCTCATGGGAATATTTTTAATGTGGCTAAATCCACATTAATAATCATTTTTCCAAACATCCTCTAATTAAAGAAAAATCACTAAGGCAAGGTCTGCTATTTTTAAGTGACTTGGAACTATTTTTTTCATATAAATGAATATTAAAGGTATCCAAGATATTAAATAACATCTATTTTCCCATGGAACAGAGAATTTTTTTTTAAAGATTGACACCTGAGCTAGCATCTGTTGCCAATTTTCTTTTTTTTTTTTTTTTTTCTTCTTCTTCTCCCCAAAGCCCTCTAGTGCATAGTTGTGTATTAGAGTTGCAGGTCCTTCTGGTTGTGCGGAACAGAGAATTTTGAACTCTGCTTCTCCCATGGTGAAAGTGTCTGGAAACAGCTTTTTCCCAATGACAATGAGATAAAGTTCTAACAGCCTCTGCTAGCGCTACTTAGCACAACAACCAAGTGTGTTTGTGTGTGTATAAAACCATTTGACTTTGGGAACATTTATTATAGCAAATAAATATTTTCATCAAACCTTTTTTTAAATAAGAAGAGAATAAAATTAGGAAAATGGAAAGACAAGTATAAAGACAACTCTAAAATGCTACTATAGAACGCAAAAGAAGATTGTAAAAAATGGAGACACGTGCCATTTTTCTGATTGAGAAGACTCAATATGATAAACATTAATTCTTTCCAAATAAATGTACAGATGTGATACAAACAAAATAAAAACCATAATACCATTGTTAACCTTACAGACTAATTCTAAAGTTTACTTGGAAGAATAAATGTGTGATCATAGCCCAAAAAATGTTAAAAAAGAAATTTGAGAAAGGATTTTTTCTACCAGGTGGCGAAGTATATTGTGTAACTTCAGAGCTTAAACAGTGTGTGTTCTAGGAATTTGTGTCTCCTGGGTCCCAAGTTCTGGTGATGTTCACTCTTAAATTGTAGTCTCTCATAGCCTAAAGTGCTCTCCATACCTCAAGGTGGAGAAAATAGGCAGAACATTGCAGGAGCAATGAGCGACCTTTTCTTCCTACCAGTGTTCCGCAGTTTTGACTCCAGCAGAGGACCAAGCGGGAAGTGACAGCTATCATAGGAGCACATAAAGAACTGAGAAACCTTCCTGAGACCCTATCTTCTTTCCCATTTACACAAGGGGTAGGATTCATTTCAAAAGGGCATTAGAGAAATATTCCACTCTCTCCTCAATTCCCATTTTCATTGCATTAGTCAAAGTTATAATAGCTGTGCCTTTAAATAAACAGTTTAAAATGGTTCCCCAAATAGTTATTTTAAAACTCTAACAACTTTGTAAAAAAGAAGGGAAGACGACTCTACACCAAAGCTCACTCGGGCATTTTTGGAGCTGATTACAGACAAAAAATTCGTCTTATATGATTTGAAAAACTGGAAACTATTACATGGCTTTTAGGCCTGGTTCTGGTTCATGGATTTCCCAAAGCCTACCAAAACAGTGAAATGTTAGTAAAACAGGCAAAGCAGTAGGATAGAATAGAGTCTGGAAACAGACTCGGGAATTTAGTATTGCTAAAGGTGAGATTTTAAATAGATAGGATTGCTCTCATACACTACTGGGATGAATGTAAAATTGGGAAGCCAATTGAGAAGCCAATTTTGCAATGTCTGTTAAAACGAAATACAGGCATAGCCCATGACCCAACAATTCCACTTCTCCATGTCTCCCTGAGAAACGTTGGCACATGTGCGTAACAAGTCAGGCACAAGGATGTAGCTCTAGCTGAACAGTGAAAAATGGGAAACTATAACCGACCATCAACAGGGGACGGGCTAAGCAAACTACTGCCAGAATCTTCCCATGAATATGATGCGTGCGGAGGAAAGGAGGAGGTAGATCTCTCCGTACCAGTTCAAAAAGATTTCCAGAACATATCACTGAGTAAAAAAAATAGCAAGCATCAGGATATTAATACACAAGATATTGCATGCTGAGGTGTATCTACCTTATACATACATGTATACCACACCAATCACCATTAAAAAAAATTACATAAATTTTCATTAATCTTTATCTACCTCAAACCACACACAAGAATATATTTCCTATGG